AAGAGTGACCAGTCTGAGATGTGTCCAGAGAGATCTGCTGAGGTGAAACTCCCTTCTGATGCCCCTAAGTGCAGAGACTCCCCATGGACAGGTAGGGGGTGAATGTTCAGTGGTGGGCAGCTGTAAAACTTCTGTCGTGGCTGGCCCCAGTGTGGCAGTGCTGGAAGAACAGTCTTGTCTCCTGGCATATCCAGTTGGCTTGGTGTCCATCCTGGGAGAGAAACAGGGCAACGGGAGGAGAGGGAGGACATGGAGAAAGGTCCTTCAGTGATCCTGTTGGAAGGGTGGCAGAGCCTCCCTTGTGGTGAGTGTGTTGGGAACCCACTGGAGATCCCTTTCACTTGGCACCTGAGCTTTCCTTGGAACTGTGGTGGTGTGATGGGACAGATGCCCCTTGAGTTCCTCAACTCTGCTTCTGCTGGGTGAGTCCCTGGAGATTTTGCAGTCGGGCCCCAGAACCACGTCTGCCCCTGCAGATGAAGCTGTGCTGGAGAAGAGGGGCCGTGAGGGGCGTGGGGCTGTTCTGCAGGACACAGCTGGCTCTCTGGAGCACTGTGACCTCGGTGCCTGCACCTGCCTTAGGCCTTGGCCCCACCAGGGCTTGTGCCAAGCACCTCGGTCCTCACCTCTGTGGGCACAGCCCCTGTGCCCTCTGCCCTTCATCCCCTCGCTGCAGGACAAGGGTGGGGTGGTGGCAGCCCTCCAGGCAGGTTCCTGCACAGGGCTGGAGAGTTTCTGGTTTGCTGGAGCCGTGTGGCTCTGGTGGCTGGGCTGGGAGCACTGGGAGCCTTTCCTGGGCAGCTCTGGGCAGGGCCAGGAGCCCTCTCGCTGCGGGAGCTCCGTGAGGTCAGGCAGTGGAGCAGTGGCAGCTCTGGCTCCACGCTGGGGCCGTTGGGCTGCCCCGTGGCTCCCAGGCTTGCTCTGCTCCCCATTGCCCCTCTCGGGGGGCTGCTCCCCAGCCCTGCCCCCCTGGGTGTGCTGCGTTCAGCCCTGCGGGTGTAGGTGTGGTGGGCAGGGAGGGCTCCAGGTGCTGACCTGGGCCAGGCTCTGGGATCTCCAGGAGCTTGCAGACCTGTTCCAGCTCCGCGTGGGCCTGTGGGGCTGTGCTTGCCTGGTTCCCTCTGCCAGTGGTCAGCTCTGTCTGGGCTCTGCATTGGCTCCTGGGAATAGGAACTCTGGTTTATTCTCCTGGAAATCCTCACGTCAGGGGAAGCTTCCACAGCAACCAACAGGGACAGCTCCGTGCAGTGTGTCCCCACAGCCAGTGTGAAAACTTGGGGTGTCTGCCTTAGCAAGCACAGCAGGCACAGAGCAGGGCTGGGGTGGCCTCTGCTGGGGGTGGCCTCTGCTGGCACCTCTGCTGGGGTCTTGGGAGCAGAGGGGTGTCACTGGGAGGTGTCTGATCCCCGTGCAGTGGGGGAGGCTGTGTCAAGTGGTGACCAGGGGGGGAACTGTGACTCGTGTCCCCCCCACCCCTGTGCCTTGGCTGGCTTCCCCCAGCTCACAGATGACGGCTGCAGATGAGTGTCTGACCCTGGGGTGGCTTTCCATGGGCAGGGGCTGCAGCCCAGGGAGGGTGAGTTCTATTTAAACCTTCAGGGTTTTGTAATCTTGCTGAGTTAAAGTTCCTCTTTCTTGGTGGAGCTGGAGCAGAAATTCAGAGGAGGAGGTGGGGGATGAATTGTCTCTTGCTGAAGGGCCACGGGAAGTACATGGAGCTGCAGATGTGGTTTGTTCATCCTCACCCTCATCATCATTCCCACTTAGCACCTTTTGTGACAGCATCTCACAGGACAGGGTGGCAGACTGAACTAAGTGAAGTGTCTCTGGCCAGATTCCCAGGGTAGTCAGTGTGCTGGGTGGCAAGAAGGTAAGAAAGCCCTTGGCCCCTGGGGCACACTGGCCATCCCACCATCTCCCCAGTTCCAGGCCGAGCTTGCCAGGGTGAGAGCAGTCTGAGAGCTGGAGGTGAGAGACCAGGGTGCTGCTGGGTCAGAATACCCCGTGGTGACATTTCATGGGCAGTTCTGTAAAGCTACATCAAAAGCACCTTGCACCTCTGATGGTGGCTCACTGGCTTTGCCATCCAGGGTACCAGGGAGGGGGTTTACCTTCTCCCACCCTCGATCCCTACCCAAGCCAAGGACCTTCAAAGGCCCTTGCAGCATGAAGGGGCATGTCCCTTCACCTCTGCCTTGCAGAATTGGGTGTCTCTGTGTCACAACCTGCTGGATCCCAGACCTCTGTGTCTCTGCTTCACAGCCTCTGGGAGCTCCTGGGACGTGCAGAAGACTGGGGAACACTGATACCAAGGAAGGAAGCTGTGCTTTGCAGGTTTCTGCCTTTCCTGGCAGAAGAGGGAGGCTGAGCAGCCAGCCCTGCTGCAGAGGAGGTGGTGGTGCTGAGGGACCCTCTCTCCTGACACAGAGCCCTCTCTCTCCTTGCAGGTGGTGGTGGTCCTGGAAGTCCTGAGCTGGGGTCGGCTGGAAGATGACTGAATATAAGCTGGTGGTGGTGGGAGCTGGTGGTGTTGGGAAGAGTGCTTTGACAATACAGCTCATTCAGAACCATTTTGTGGATGAGTATGACCCCACGATAGAGGTAAGTGGCTCTGGGCACGGGCCCTGTCTGTCTGAGTGCTTTCCTCTTGCTCTTCTCCACCTTGCCTCCAACCCAGGGCGTGCTTGGCTTGGTCTCAAGCCTCAGGGTGAGCAGGGGTGTCTTCTGCTTTGCAGAGCTCTTTGGAGTGCTCTGCCTGTGCTCGGAGGTGACAGTGGGTGCCCTGTGCCTGCTGCAGGAGCCCAGGGGTGGAGGGGGGTGGCAGGCACGGGCAGGGCTGTGCCTGGGCTGGGGCACCACAGAACGTCCTTGCTGGTGGGACAACAGCACAGGGACAGCTTAGAAAGGCCATTTTGTGCCTGTGCTTCCATTTCTCCTGTGAAATCAGAGTAAAGATACTGACTTCTCGTGCAGGGTGTTTGGAGATTTACTGATGGAATGGTTGTGTTGGAGCTTGGTTGTATTCCGTGTGCCCTGCAGTCTGAGGGAGGCATGCTGAGCAGCTGAGCCATCCTGGCTCCACACCGTTCCCTTTGCTCCACCACAAGGAGCTCAGGGTGGATGTATGGGCCTCAGTCAGTGTGGAGGGTAGCACTGGGCTGTGTAGCTCAGCACCCTGCCTGGAGAAGCAGGCAGAGACCCTGTGCTCCTCGAGGCTGTGCAGAGCAGGGTCTGACCTTCAGTAGCCATTACACCATTTTCTTGTTTTTTTTAACTTCTAAAAACCATATTCCATTCTCTGACTGCTTTCCCCCTTGCCAGTGAGATGCTAATTACTCCCTGCATGACTTACACCTTCGTTCAGGGGAGATGTGGGCAGCAGCCACTGCTCTGCACAAGGAGTGTGTCCACCCTGGGAAGGCAAATTCCAGCTCTGTCATGCCTCTAGGACAATAGCCTCTCTGTCTGCAGTCCTGGAGGATTCTCCACCAGATGTGTGTAAATGCAGCTGTGGTTCCTGCAGTTATTATTATCATCATGGCTAAAAGGCCCCAGCTGGGATCCGAAATCTATTCTGGTAGGTGTTGTAAGTGTAGTCCCCACCCTGAGGAGCTTACAGCTCACAGAAACAAGTGAGACAAGCCTTGGTGGAAAGGCAGAAATAGTTTCACAGTCCTGCAGAGGGGAGAGGGAGAAAGCACTTAAAAGCACGTGCTATTACATCATTTGGCCAAGGTCACTCCGAGAGCCCTCGGCAGAGGCTGGAACTCCTGTCAAGGGCTCCGGAGTCTCCTGGCTTAGGAGGCAGTTGCTGCCTGCCCCAGCTCCTCTCCCCTCGCCTGCTCCTCGCCGGGAGCTTCGGATGCTTTTCTGAAGAGCCTCCTCCAGGCTGGGTTTGGCAGAAGAGCTGCTGCTGGAGAGCAGCCCCTCTGGAGAGACATCTGCATGGATGGTCCTCTCATGGACCTTGGGGGGGTAGAGGCAGCCCCGACCCAATGATGTGTTGGGGTTTGGCATCCTGTTTTTTTGGTCTCCAGCTGCCTGGCCCCTGTATGTACCCTGCAGGGAATTTTCTCCATGTAAACAGGCAGTGGGGAATGTAAACCTTGCATGGCATTTCCCAGCACACCCTCCTCGCCCTGCCCACTCCTTCATGCCCTGGGAGATGCCTGCTCTCCTCCCACTCTGCTCTTCTCCTCTTGTCTTCCTAAAGCAGCCACAAGCTGCTCTTTGCCCCTCTCACCCCTGGTGCTTTTCCACCTACAGGTCCCACCAGCCCTGATGCCTGTGCAGCTCCGTGGGTCATGCCCTGCATCCCTCCCAGCCACCTTCTCACTCATTCCAGGGTGGCTCCTTTTAATTATGCTTCATTTTATGGGGATTTAGGATGCACAGAGAGTTACCTGCCAGCCATCCAAATGTGACCAACAAACCACCCTCCTGTGACTAAGCTGCTTTGGATCATGCCCAGGAGCTGACTCTGACTGTTCAGCCAGCTAACAAACAGCACAGCAGTGCTGAAATGAGTGGGATAGAGGGGGAAAAAGGAGTAAATGTGCTGGAGCAAAGGATTTACCCGTGGCTGAAACGAGTGGAGCACAGGCTGTGCTGCAGAGGGGGTGTGAGCGGGTTGGGGTGCACTGAGAGGGTGCTCCCCAGGGCAGAAGGGGTGGAGCAGTGAGTTTGTCCCTCATGTGGGGCAGAGAACCCACCTGAGTGGCTCCTCCCCCAGGCCCTCCCAGGTCTCTGGTGCAGGTGCCAGGTTTGTGACTCGGCACTGGCTGGCCTGCTGCAGCACGTGCTCACACCTGGGCTCTTGGGCTGCCTTAGGAGCTTTTCCCTGGGAGCCAGAAGGCACCAAGGAGCCATGCTGCTGCTGGTGTCCCGTGGCGCCTGAGCGGGGATGGAGGAAAGAGCCAGGCTGCACTGGGGAATTCTTTGGTTCATCTTCTAGCTCTTAGCAGTCAGCCAGTAAGACTTCCCCAGCCTCTGGTTGTATCCTGACTGTAGCATTTAACAAGTGGACCTTTTGGCCTGCTCCTCCAGCACTGCTGGGGTGCTGCCAGCCTCCGTCTGTGGCCCTGAGTCTGAACCCCAGGCAGATGTTGTTCCTGCTGCCTGGCATTTGCAGCTGTGCCTGGCCAGCGAGCCATGACCTGGGGCTGCAGGGTGCTGGTGCTGGACACGTGGGCTGGTGGCACCTGCCCCTGCAGAGGGTGTCCTGGCAGCGTGGCAGGATGTGGGCACGTGTGCCAAGGGGCCGGTCCTGTGGACGCAGGAGGGGCACGGGGGGGAGGATGCTCTGCTGGGCAGGGCACACCCTGGACCCCCCTCGGCTGGTCTCTGCCAGGCACTGGAGGTGGAACCAGTGCTCTTCTGCCTTGCACCAAGGAGACTCCAGAGACATTATTGATTGGAATGGGAGCCCATCCCCGGGGCAGGCTGCCAGCTGCCTTCAGAGCTCGGCTGCGAGCCAGCCCATCGCTCCACACCTATTCCTGGTGGGTCAGCAGTCCTCTCTTGGGGAAGGCACAGCCAAGAAGGTCGTGGCAGAGCAGATCTCATCTCCCCTGATTTTGCAGCCCTCTCCACAAGGTGAATCAGCCCCAGTGGATGACGTAGTGTGGAACCAAAGGGAGGAGCTGCCCTGGCCCCATCCCCTGTCGGTGCTGGTCCTGGTGCTGACCTCTGCTGCGGCGGCTGTTTGTCTGCAGACCTGCAGAGCTCATCTGATCATACTCTTGTGGTGGTTGGCAGAGCAGCAGACGTTTGGATTCATTTTAGACTGCAGCCTTGGGCTCTGTGAGTGCCTGCAGAGCGTGGCCACAGTGCTGACTCTCACCCTCTGCATGCCTTTGGCCTGGGCTGCCTCCTCTCGCCGGCAGCTGAGGACACTGTGCTGTACCCAGGGGAGAGCTGCTGGAGAGGATGAGGCTGTTCCACCACGCAGGAGCTGCCCCAGCAGCATCTCTGCTGATGAGCCTGGGCACGGGGCAGAGGGACGGTGGGAGGAGCAGTGCTTGGAGGAGCCTGCTCTGAAAAGGAGAGGCTGGGAAGGGTGAGCTGCCTGGAGAGTCACAGACTTCCCTCACATCGTGATAAGCTGGGGTTGCTTCTGCTGCAGGGAAAAACCCAACTCCAGAGGCCCTCCCTGGATAGTCCCTGCCTCTCCTGGAGCCCTCTGGGCACAGGCTGGTTGTGGGAAACACCCTCCTCATGGCATGGCATTGTTATTCTCCTGCTTGAAGAAGAAGTTTAGCATCAAGCCCAGTTAGCAGCTGTACTGGTGGGCGTGTTGCCTCTGGTGCCTGCTCTGCAGTGTGTTGGAGATGCTGGATTTCCAGGTGACCATTGACACCTTCCAGCCCTGCAGGTCCCAGGTGGTGGCTGGGGGCACTGGCTGGCCAGAGTGGCCTTTCTGGGGTGTCCCCTTCCAGCAGCCGGGCAGGGCTGCAGCTGGAGGGGCCAAATCCAGCTTAGGAGAAGGGCTGCTGAGAGCTCTGTGCCGTGGTAGAGGAGAAGCTGCCCCTGGTCTGCAGGGCAGGGCTGGGAATGGGGAGAGCCAGCCTGGCACTGGCTTCTCCAGGGTTTTGCCAGAGATGGGGAAACGTGCTCAGCTGCTCCTTTTTCCCTTCTGTTTTTCTTTTTTTTCTCCTTATTTTTCCTTTCCCTTCCCTTTTTCAAACAGATTGAGTCGTCTGCTGACCAGCAGTTGCACCGAGGCAGAGCATGACCTGGCACCTTCCCAGGGGTGCACTCGCTGCATCCCTCTGCTTGCCTTGACCCGAGCCCCCCTAACGTGTCTCCCTCCCTCTCTGCCCCTCTCCTGGCTGCAGGATTCCTACAGAAAGCAAGTGGTGATCGACGGGGAGACGTGCCTGCTGGACATCCTGGACACGGCGGGGCAGGAGGAGTACAGCGCCATGAGGGACCAGTACATGCGCACGGGGGAGGGCTTCCTCTGCGTCTTTGCCATCAACAACACCAAGTCCTTCGAGGACATTCACCAGTACAGGTCGGTGCCCGGGGGCCCTGCCCCGCCCAGGGGGTGCTCTGGCTGCTGTGCCCGGGGGGCTGGAGCAGAGGCTGCTGCCCGTGCCTCCGGCAGCCCCTCCGCAGGGGGCTCCTAATGCAGCCTTAAGTGTTCTGGTGACTGGGGAGAGAGCTGCTCGGTCAGACCCCTCCCCCCC